CGTCAGCATCATCAGCAGCATCGTCAGCATCGTCATCAGCATCATCAGCAACATCATCATAGTCGTCATCAGCATGATCAGCATGATCATCATCAGCAGCATCATCAACATCATCAGCATCAGCATCATCATCTGCATAATCAACATCTGCATAATCAACATCATCATCATCATCATCAGCATCATCATCAGCATCATCATCATCATCACCATTAACAGCATCATCAGCATCATCATCATGAGCAGCATCATCAGCAGCAACAGCATCATCAGCATCAGCATCATCATCACCATCATCATTATGAGCAGCATCGTCAGCATCATCAGCATCATCATCAGCATCAGCATCGTCATCATCACCATCATCATCACCATGGTCATCAGCATCAACATCATCGTCATCATCAGCAGCATGATCATCATCACAGACAGAAGCATCATCATCCTCAGCAGCAGCATCACCATCATCAGCATCATCATAAAACGTATCAGCATCATCATCAGCATCATCAGCATCACCACCACCACCATCATCATCATCATCAGCAGCAGCAGCATCATCATCAGCAGCATCACCATCATCATCTCCATCATCATCACCATCATCGCCATCATCATCAGCATCCTCATCATCATCACCACCACCATCACCATCATAACCACCACCAGTATCATCACCAACATCATCATCAGATGATCATCATCAGCGTCATCATCACCATCATCAGAATCACCATATCATCGTCAGCGTCAGCATCACCATCATCGTCATCATCATCAGCAGCAAGATCATCATTACCATCCCCCCGCGCATCCTCTTTGTTGGTGGCGAACTCGTCGATGCACCAGTCGCGCATCTTCACCTCTGCCCCGCAGCTAGGCGGGGGTCGCACGCTCTCCGAAAGAAGCACTCGTGAACATCTGGGATGTGGCCATCTGGGCTCACGCGTGCAGCACTGCAGGGCGGTCCGGCCTGGCCGCCCGCCCCTGAGACTACTGACAATACTCATGACTCATTACTGAAATCGGGGATCGACTGACCCGGGTCAATGCAGACCCAGGTCCGTCAGGCGTTGCAAGGTCCTGCAAAATCCTGCAAAATCCCTCAAGAACCCTGCAAAAATCCTGCAAGAACCTGCAAAATCCCTCAAGAACCCTCAAAAACCCTGCAAAAACCCTGCAAAATCCTGCAAAGTCCTGCAAAATCCTGCAAAATCCCTGCAAGAACCCGCGCGCGAGCCCGGGGTCAGTGCACCCCTGGCTCTGCAGGGTCCTGCACGATCTGGCGCCCTGGCTGCCCCCTGTTTGCATGGAACCCCGCCCTGGCCCGTGTGGGCAACGCATCAAAGGATAGATGGTACTGTAATAAAGCAGAGGGCTTCAAACGACAAACTGGTTTGTCGCGAAAGTAAGGATAAATAAAGTAGAGGATAGAAGGTACTGTAATAAAGTTAGTTAAAGCGACAAACTGGTTTGTCGCTTTAGCTAACTTTAAACGACCTTCAGCTGTGTGGATCTATTGGACTATGTTGTCTGCTTTCAGCAAAACGTGGTCCAGATATCTTCACGTGGTCTAACCCGTGAGGGAACACAAAACGCATCGTGCTATCGCCCAGCCAAGGCCGTCCTGCGAACGTGGCCGAAACACGCCTGGCAGGAATATCCAGGCAAGGGTGCCTAAACCCGTGGTGAGCCTGTGGGGGTCGGCATGCTGCTGAGTACGTCTATCAGCAGCTAGCGGCAACGGGGTGTCGCTCGACCACTGAAACTGACGCGACAAGAGGGGGTTAACCTGTCACGGACCGAGGAGGAGGAGGAAGAGGAGGAGGAGGAGGAGGAGCAGGAGGAGGAGGAGGAGGGGGTGAAGGGGGGAAGGGGGAGGAGGAGAGGAGGGAGAGGAGGAAGGAGGAGGAGGAGGAGGAGGAGGAGGAGGAAGAGGAGGAGGATGGAGAGGGAGAGGAGGGGTAGTCTTAAGTCCCTTCGGAGAAACCTTCACAGCGGCATGGGATGGTGATTGCCCTGGGGTTCGGTGCTGCCCTGGGGATTGTGATGCCTTGTTCCGAATGACCTCTGGGCGCGAAACGAGCGTGCACATAGGCGGCAGGATGAGGGAGCAGGAGGAGGAGGAGGCAGAGAGGAGGAGGAGGAGGAGGAGAGGAGGTGGCAGGAGGAAGGGGTAGGAGAGAGGAGGAGGAGGAGGGAGGAGGAGGAGGTAGGAAGGAGGAGGAGTTGTGAGGGGGAGGGAGAGAGAGGTAGGAAGAGGAGGAGGAGGAGGAGGAGGAATGAATGAATGAATGAATGCCCTTCCTGGTCCCATACGTCTCTGCTCTGCTGCTAAGTGTGCTCTACAGCGTGCGCTAGTGTATCGATCGGACGAAGACGTGCTGCAAAATCGGCTGGAGTTCGGCCTACTCGACAAAAAATCTGCCAGGCCAACGAACCCACCGACCCGACACTCCGAACCTCCAACACGGCCTATGGAGCCTAGGAGGCCAGAGCAGGGCAGGGACACCGCCTCGTGACCCAGCCTGCTCGGGCCCGAAACTGGGGGCACCCACACTCGAGACATCCGACAGGGGGCAGGGAACGCCCACCCCAGACGCGGACGCCACGGCGGAGGTGCCATCAGCCTCGACGACGAATTACATCTCGACGAGCGCTCTGTGCTCGAGCGTGCCGATCGAGATACACTACTTCACGCAACGGAGGAGGAGGAGGAGGAGGAGAAGAGGAAACAGCAGCGGCAAAATGGGCGGCCTCAGATCCCGCTCTCTGACGTCGCTCAGCTGCTCGTAGTAGCTGTCGAAGCTCAGCAGAACTATTTCCACCAGCAGTCGAAGAAAGCGAAATCCCTGCAGAAGTATTTCCACCAGCAGTCGAAGAAGACGAGCCAGCAGTATTTCTTTCCGCAGTCGAAGAAAAAAACGAGCCAGCAGAAGTATTTCTTCTCGCAGTCGAAGAAAGAGAGCCAGCAGAAGTATTTCTCTTTGCAGTCGACGAGGAGCTCGATCCGTCTAGCGATACCTCTCCTCGTGCGTCCGACTCTCGCCAAGCTCCTCTAACACCTGCTGCACTCTGCGCGCTATGTCTGACGATGGCGCCATCCCGTACTTGAAGATGCCGCCCTGGTTGCTCAACAATGTTTTGGCATGCTCCCACGCCGGCCATGCCACGGCCGATCTGTTCACTTTGATCTCTATCTTCGCGTAGTCCCGTGCATACGTTTTCTTCACGCGGCAGTAAGGGATGTCCTTCTGCAGGGCGTGATGAAGGGCCTGCATGCCCTTGGATTCCTTGATCTGCGTGTAGTTGGCGGTGTAGCGCTCGAAGTCCGTCTTCGCCTGGCCGCTCAACTGTACTGCCTGCTGCTCGGCTTTGTTCATGATGGCCAAGAATATCGACGTGTGCGGGAGACCCAACTGCTGCTCTCGATCCTCCTTGGCCACTCCCGCTGCTTGCTGCGCGTAGCCGCGACCCGCATCCAGGCCGGCCTGCGCCATCTCGGCCGACAACGGGCACACGCACACCTCCAGGTCCGAAACCGCTCTCGCCACCCGTGCTTGGTACTCGGCTGCCAGTCCCAACTTTGCTACGAGAATCATCATGTCCTTGATCGCCTTCAAATTGTCCTTGTCGGCCTCCTTCAGCGCTTTGCCGAGAGGCTCCTCCCTGCGCTGACGCTGCGCTGGCGGGAGCGCGAGGTCGAGGGGCATGGCCTCTGCGTCCTCGGAGAGGTAGGTGGCCGAACCGCGCGGCCAACTCTGGAATGATCTCGAGCCCCGAACGAGCTACTGATAAATGTATATCTCGAGGCCCTGGAACATGCGACCGAACATGAATGTGATATAGCGCCAGGGACGTAAAGTGCTGTTCACACAACGGACATACAAGTTCAACTTCATCAGGTACTTTTTGTGGTGTTATGGCATGATCCGTAAGGCACCGATTCTGGATGAAAGCATGGCGCACATGTGATACCGCTGAGTCCCGACTGCTAAACCCAGACGAACACCATGGACACATACTACTTCGCACGAACTTTTCAACATGTACGACACCATCCGCTCTTCGAACGCGCGATTGGTGGACTCGCAGGGCTCTAAGGGTCTCGAACGTCTCTCCACGCTCCTGTCCATTCGGGAGAAGATCATGACATCGGTATTCACGAGCATGTGGGGGTTCATCTTCGGGATCCTGAGGGGGCTGATGGTGGCCTGGAGGAGGCACGGCAACCGAGAGGTACTTACTCCGAAGCTCTGAGACGTCGATGTCCAAGAAGTTGGCCTTCAGATCCTGATCCATTAAGAGCCTTTGGGGGGCGCCCTGATACCTATCCACGAAATCCGCACCCTCCTCAAGTTCCGCGAGCGAGTTCAAATCTTCAATCATCCTTTTCACGAAAAAGTTAAGCCCCACTGGGTCCTGCTCGAAGGGCATCTGGGGGGCCAGGAGGATAGTCAGGAGCTGTTCGTTTTTTTTCAGGGGCCCTGAACATTGCCTGGCACCACCTCAATCTCTGAATCCTGAGCTCCAGCGAGACGGGTGCTAGTCGGAGCAGCCGTAAAACTCGCGCAGAGGCGAGGCCCCTCTTCTTCTCGGTGCCGTCGGGGAAGGAGGGTGGTATTCGTCGCCGCGCCCTGCAACAATTTACGACAAAACCATGTCTGTGTCCTGTCGAGCTTGGCCTCGTCCTCTTTGGTGAAAGGCAGCCCCAAGACACCAGACATAAGACAGGCCATGCACATCATGCGAAACAAGATAATCTTGAAGTCGAAGCATACTCTGCTGAACCAAAACTTGTGAAACATATACCAGTTCTTTTTGCATGCTTGAATCCGTCGATTAAGTTCCACCCCCGTGCATCCGCGATAGTGCAGCATGGGACCAAGGTATCGAGCCTCTCTCATCACACGTCCAGGCATCCATGGATCAGCATACGCACGTCGCTGTAGATGGCCCGATAGCTTACCCATGAAGAATGCAGTGGCCTCTAGCTTCTTCTCGTTCTGCGCGCAACCTATCTCCAGGAGGTGTCGCGACAGAGAATCGATGCATCGTGAGCTAGAGTCCCTCATCTGTGTGAATCCTTGAACACATAGTAGGCGTCTGACGTCGTCCACGAATCTAAAGATCGAGCAATCTACGATATTGTCACGAACTACCGATGGAACCTGCAACTGTGGATCTGTTGTATCAGCCCGCCAGTCGTCGACCGATGCGCCATATGCCTTCTCAAAAAGTCCGGTGCCGAGCGTGCTCCCTTGTGTAACGCCCTCGCCGTGGTGAAAGTTGGCCCTGCCATCCAGTGCGTCATACTCCGTAACACACCCACCAATTCGATCATCAAAAAGCTTCGCGTCACTCTCGGAGGCGGTGGGGAAGATGATGCTATCCTGCTTCGCGCAATTGAAAGCGTTGACCGCGTCGAAGTTGAGAGCGATGTGGGATTTTTGTGCTTTCCTAAGTCGGCCCATCATAACTGCGGTAGCCGCAATTGCCCCCTCGCATCTCCTTCCAGGAACATGATACGCGTGAGGATATAGTACGTCTGCGGGCTGGCTCCGAAGGAGGCCGCGATAGAACGAGTTACTGTAAGCACCATATCCGTGCACCCATCGCGCGTCGCCCAAGTCCTTGGGCATTCCAAAACACTTATCTCGATGCCATTGCTGCGGAGCCTTGTTGTTCGCGCGAACTTTCTGGTGGAACACCAAGCGCCGATCATAAATACACTGCAGCTGCTCTGTGGGGGTGTCCAATCCAATACCATGCTGCACCACCGTGCCAACAGGTGGAGAAAGAAAGATACGCCATACCTCAGAAGGTAAATCCCACTCTGGGGCTGCTCGTCGATTTTTTGCCTTGCCAAGAGCTTGAATAGTACGAAGGAGATCGCGTTCAGCCTGTGGCCGTACGTCTGGGGCGGGGGGATGACGAGCCTGTTGCGCCTGAATGAAGAGCCTGGCGTCCGTGATCCTGCGAGCACCCCATCCCTTAAGAGCTCCTGCCTTAGAGAAACGTTGTTCAACTTCATCTCGTGTAAGTCGTAACGTGATGGGTCGTCCGCACCGTCGTCGTTTGGGTCCAAGTCTTTTTCCTGTAATCATTCGTGCAAGCTGATGCGCCTCCGCATGGCGCTTGTCATTCCATGCCTGTGTACATGCTTCCATCAGTGCCAGCTGTCGATCGATCTGCATTTGCTTGATATGTGAGGTGACCTTTCTACTCGCTATGCCAAGACACACTGCTACTCGCCATCCGTGTAGTAGATCTCGTAGCGAGTGCATGCTCGATCCGATTCCAAGTATACGAAAGATATATCTTATAGGTCCCAGTCCGTCATGCGTCCATTGCTGAGCCACTGCTTGTCGAAGATCGCGCCGTTCACGAAGAAGTTGAATCTTTTGCTTTGATTTGTCCTGAAGCTTCGTGTCTGGATGTGGTGTGAAGTGCTTCTGAGCGATGGGCTGCAATCCGTCCACGAGAAACTGCCATGATTGTGTGACCGATCCTGTGTCTAAGATCTGCTGCCACTCCTGCTCGCTGCCCAGGCACCATTGGGTGATGTCGGTATATATCAGATCTCGAAGCCCTCCATGTAGCATTTCCTGCATCATACCTTCTCGATCCCACTTCATATTCTGCTTGCTGCCGTCGTACTGTAATTGAATATCAAGATTTATCTGAACAGGTCGGTGATCAGCCTTTCGAATGCTTTGTATGAGTTGAAGTCGGTCACCAGCACGCTCCAGAACGAATGCCGAGTGTATAGCTCCCGATGTCAGAAATCCATATGGCACGCATATGTAGTCGATCCTGTGCTGGGTGTTCATGCCTAAGTTATAATGAGTAGGCCCGGCTCCGTGAGGAAAGTATGTGTTCACCGCACACAAGTGAAAGTCAAGCCAGAATTGTCTCAAATAGCTGCCATTCGTGTTGGTTGGTTCTCTAAAGTGCGGGCCGATCGCGAAACAATCATCTGGGCATGGTACGCCCTGAGGTCCTGCGAGCATGCCCACTCTGCCATTCCCGTCCATCATCACTATAGGCAACACACGTGCGGGGAGTCCAGCAAGAATCTGTGAGGTCCATGAAAGAAGCTTCTGGAACGGGGACCTGGGCTTGTGGTTGCCAACATTCTCAGGGGGAAAGTACAAGGATATCCATGCCACGTCCATGCTGTCCGTACGAGTACGTATGAGGATGCCACGCCCTTGCAAGCTCGGGTCCTTAGGCACCTTGATCTCCTTGATCGAAGTGTCACGAAACATTCGCCGATGAAGCCCAATTGCCACGCCTGCATGCTTGTTATACCGTCGTCCATATCCAGCAGAATAGAATATATGATTTCCAATACTTCGCTGCTCAATAGCCAGATCGTGTCCTGGTAGTCTGGTGCCCTGCAGCCCGATGACCGCTTTGTGCTTGAACTCACTGAATATGTCGTCGAGCCTGCCGCAGTTCAGGGTGGAGAGAGGGTTGTAGCTGATCACCTGCGCG